TTGGAAAGGTTAAAGACATAGATTTCACTCATTCAATTTAGTAAACGCTTTATGATAAAACTTAAGTGACAGCAAGGACTTCCGCTTCCAGGTAGGGTCTTTGTGACCCAAAGAAAATATAGTGTAGGTATCCTGAATTTTCCTGTTGCCTCATAGATCTCAGTCTTTGAGGTGGTAAAGTCAGCAACCCACATACACAAATGAGCATAGTTTGTTTGTCTGTTTTTGTTTTTCAAACCTAAGAAAAGCCTGCTTTCCAGTGCCAAAGACCAGGAGGGGACACCCTATTAAGACATAACATTCTTAAAGAGTAACTGCTAACTACAGCTAAATACCACTGAAAGTACCATAACCCTATGTTACAAAAAGCCAAGTGGGGAGTCTAGACTTCCACCTTCATGAGGCTGTAACAAGGTCCCTCAATGTCCTTGCTGGGTGGTGGTGTCAGAGAAGGCTTAGCAGGAAGCTAGGGTCTCTGCTATCTCTGCTGACTGATAACAAGCTCCTTCTTCCCCGCCCTCCCATCTCCCCCAGAGGTGTCTGTGAAGATCATGTAGGAAACTGGAATTTCCATCCTCACTTGGAAAAAGAAGTAAGGCACCCCATGGTATCAAAGACACTGCAGAGTCAGGATTTTCACCACTTCCTCAGTGATACAGGGGAGGCTAAAGGAGCCCCAAAGAGGCACTCCTTCAGAATGATCAAGGTAGCGTAAGCAAAAGAGAGTAGGGAGCTGGAAATCCCACCCAGCCCAGCAGTAAGGAGGATGCTCTCACCATCCCTGAAGTCAATGGAGGCTGAGTGGAGAATCTGGACTTCTAGCCTAATTTAGTAGTAAATGTCAGCACTCCCACTTTCCCCTGTTGGAGTGGTGTTAGAAGCAGCCAGGTAAAACAGAAGGTTTAAATGAGATCCAAAGTCATAATATGATACCTAAAATACTCAGGTTCCACTAGAAAATACCTCATCACGCTAAGAACCAAGAAAATTTCCATTTACTTTTTCTTTCCAGTTTTTTTTGTTGTTGTTGTCATTGAGCAAATAGTAGACAGGATAAAACCAAATAATTCCATACCAAGACACATCATAGTCGAACTTCCAAAAAACTAAAGCCAATAATATCTTAAAACTAGCAAGAAAAAGTGACATTTTACCTATAGGAAAAACATGTTTATCAAAGAAGTGAACATTTTTGGCAGTTGCCGAGTGATGTGTGTTTTCAGTATTCCACTAAAGCATGAGCCCTTAACAAAAAAACGAATTAGCAGTTTAGCTAACAGCTCCAGCTTAATATCATTTAATTGTCTGAATATCAGATACAAATGATCTAACTCTGACAATCATCTCACTTCAAGCTTTTAGCATCAAAGAGAATACCAACTCATAGGTAAGACACAATTGAGGTATAGTTATAATACAGTTTACCTGCCTCAGAGAACATGTCTTTTTTAGGAACTAACATATGTAGTATTTTATTTAATTCAAACACAAACTCACATATTTACATATAATGGAAGTGTTAGGTTTATGACAGTCATAAAAACAGAGTTGAGTCATCCAACAGTGAACATCACATTTCATTTAGAAAAGCATCATAAACCAAGGTAATTTTACAATGTATATTTTCTCTAAACTCCAAATATTAATTCTCTCTTCAATGAAGAGAATTAAAATGTCAAAACAGAACAGATGCTTGCAACTTTACAGAGGAAACAGAATGCTTATACATTGCTGGTGGGAATATAAATTAGTTCAGGTGCTGTGGAAAGCGGTCTGGAGATTTCTCAAAGACCTAGAGGCAGAAATTTGATGCAGCAATCCTATTACTGGGTATATACCCAATGAAATATAAATAATTCTACCACAGAGACACAGCATACGTATTTTAATTACCGTACTCTTCACAATACAAAAGACATGGAATCAACCCAGATGCTCATCAATGGTAGAGTGGCTAGGGAAAATGTGGTACATGTATACCATGGAATACTACCCAGCCATAAAGAACGAAATCATGTCCTTTGTAGCAATGTGGATGGAGCTGTAGGCCATTATTCTAAGCAAATTAACACAGTAACAGAAAACCAAATACTGAATGTTCTCATTTGTAAGTGGGCGCTAAACATTAAATACACATAGAACCAAAGAAGGGAAGAATAGACACCATGGCCTAATTGAGAGTCAAAGGTGGGAGGAAAGTGAGGATTGGAAAATTATCTACTATTATGCTGATTAACTAGGTTACAAAATTATCTGTATATCAGTGCCCTGTGAAATGCAATTGACTCATGTAAAACACTTGCACATGTACCCCTTGAACCTAATAAAAGTTGGACTATAAACAAACAGCAAAAAACCCTAATAAAATAGTGGTAATACCACAATGCTGACAAGGTTGTGGAGACAGGATCTCTCATAAACCGCTGGTGAGAAGGCAAAACGGTACAGCTACTTTGGAAAATCGTCAGTTTCCTTTAAAACAAAACGCATACTTACCATATCACCTTATAATTACTTTGGGCATTTCTCTCAGAGTGATCTTAATTTCCTTGTAATAGCATATATCTGTTCAAAAATTATGACAAAGTGTTAGATTTACATATTTGGGACTAAGACATTGCAACTCTTCTACATTTAACTGGAAAGACTTCAATGTTAAGTTTAAGTAGGGTATGTTAAAAATACATGCTGTAATTCCTAGACCAACAACTAAAACACCACTGCAAGAAAATAGTTATAAAATCAATTTTTATCTTTTTCCAACGTCTAACTCATCTTTTGGACCTTCCTAACCCCAAAGAAGTGTCCTGAGAATAATACGGTAAATAAAAGAAAGGCTTCTTAAGTATACTTGTCACTGTATCACCAATTGGCTATGTTATCTTAGGTAAGTTATTTAATATTTTTCATGCCTCAGTGTTCTTATCAGAAAAATAGGAATAATAGTAATAATCCTTAAATATTGTATTAAATTTATATAATGAAATTAGTTGATATCTGATGTTGAATACATGTTATCAATTACCATTGTTGTTTCTATTGAATCAGTGAATGAGTGAAGAGGCAGGTTGAAGGTGCAAATATTTACACCATTAGTATATCAGAGAAACATGCATTTTAAGAGTGACAAGTCAGATTAACCTAGTTCTAGGTGAACTTTTGGGACATTTTAAGGTTTCAAAACAATCTGAAGGTGGAAAATATGTTACATGTCTGGGTGCAGATATTGCAGCATTGTGGAAACAAAGGAAGAGAATGAAAATAAGGTAAAGTTGCTTTTAAAAATGATGCACGTGAGAAAAAATGGAGTAGACAAATGAGGATACAGGAAGAAACTGACTCTGAAAGAGATCAGGATTTTCTTCAGAATGACTTTGAAACCAAACACATATCCACAGTAGTTATATCAAGCTCTTGAGACAACAGTGGAGGAACAACTGAATTCTTGTTTATTTTTAAATTATACATCTTATGGTGTAAATTTATTAGCATAAATCCTTAGTTCTGCAATGTGATTAGGCTCAGTTGCACTTCTATAAAGTGTGACTATTAACACTACCTCACTACATGTTGTAAATTTTAAGAGATTTTGTGAAAAAAATTAATCTACTATTTAGCACATGATACCATATCAATTATTTGAATCATGATCCTAGTATCTCTTGTTCACATTCCCCTCTCTGCTTTCCCCAAAAGGATATTCCCAACTAATGACAAAAAAAAACACAATTAGATGTGTTTCCTGAGACAGCACCCACTGGGACTAGAGAATCCTCTGAGAGAGAAGCTGTTTGGATGGAAGAAGATATGATTTACCACCTGGAGCTAGGGGTGTGGAAGAAGGTTTCTTGGTGTCATTTGGAGACATCACACTGCTCAGAATAGGAGATTCCAAAATGCATCTCAAGTCTTTCTCCTGTGGGGCTAGCCTGCTGTGAGGCAGTCTAGTGTATGGGAGCTAAAAGGCAGGACTTGCTCTCTGAGCCTCTTCAGGTGAGTGGAGAACCCTCCCTTGACTGATCTGTTATGCTTTGGTTTACAGTAGAGTTTTTGGAGGCAGCAGTACCTGATTTTTGGGCTGAGAGATGCCTGCTGCACAACCTGCCTTGAGCCCTGACTTTTTCTTCAGTGCTCAATATAGATTCACAGGTAAAAGGAGCCTGCCCTACTCTGCCCAAGGAATTTGGAATGGTATAATAGCTTGGAAGAGGGGTTGTATAGATACAGTGATTATTGTTTAGCAAGCTATTTCTTATTCTATATTCATATTAGTGAGTGCCTCATAGTCTTTAAAGAGGTTCATTATTGTATGGGGAAAATAATGATAGATGAAGACTCACCATGCTTGCTTTCTAATCCTGGTTCTGTGTGACTTCAAGAAAGTCACTTCACCTCTCTTGGTCTTTGTTATCTGATCTATAAAACAAAATCCATCAAGATCAAGTCTCCCTACCTCCCCCTCAAGTTCTAACAGGCAATATGGGTGTGTCCACATGTGTATTCTTATGTGACAGTATATGTACAAAGATGATATAAATGTCTATGTGGTGTATCTATAAATTTGCATGCTATCTAAATATATACATATTTGTAATGTATGTGCATGCCTGATACATTTGTGAATATGGCCATTAATAGTAAATGTATAATATGTGGTTTCAAATGTGTAAAATATGCATAATTATGTGTGAATGCTATAAAGCATACATGCATCTGCATATATGTAGTCATATGTATGTGTGCAAGTATGTGCAGATGAATGTGTGATTATCTGTGTACATGTATATGCACATGCAGTCATGTGAGAATGGATCCATGCATTTGTGTCTAATTTAACAAATATCTTTTTGAAGTTTGAGTAGAGTCTAAATCAGAACTTCCTTTTTAAGTTACAACAGGATCAAGAAAAAAAGAATCCATATCATCCCACCTTTAAAGAATCTAGTCACCTACTGGCAAGGCAGAAAAAATCAACAAATCTATCAGGGATATCTCTCAGAATGGGGCAGACCAATGTAACCTCCTGGAGTGATTTTGTCTTCCTGGGCTTCTCCAGTTTTGGGAGGTTGCAACTCCCGCTCTTTGCCTTGTTCCTCTCTCTGTATCTCGTCACCCTGACCAGCAATGTCTTCATTATCATAGTCATCAGGCTGGATAGCCATCTGCACACACCCATGTACCTCTTCCTTTCCTTCCTATCTTTCTCCGAGACCTGCTACACTTTGGGCATCATCCCTAGGATGCTCTCCGGCCTGGCTATGGGGGACCAGGCTATCTCCTATGTGGGCTGTGCCGCCCAGATGTTCTTCTCTGCCTCGTGGGCCTGTACTAACTGCTTCCTTCTGGCTGCCATGGGCTTTGACAGATATGTAGCCATCTGTGCCCCACTGTACTATGCCAGCCGCATGACTCCCACCCACTGTGCCCAGCTAGTTGGCACCTCCTTCCTGACTGGATACTTCTTTGGACTGGGAATGACACTGGTTATTTTCCACCTCTCATTCTGCAGCTCCCATGAGATCCAGCACTTTTTTTGTGATACGCCACCAGTGCTGAGCCTAGCCTGTGGGGATACAGGCCTGAGTGAGCTGGGAATCCTCATCCTTAGTCTTCTGGTTCTCTTGGTCTCCTTCTTCTTCATCACCATCTCCTACGCCTACATCTTGGTGGCAATACTGAATATCCCCTCTGCTGAGGGGCAGAAGAAGGCCTTCTCCACTTGTGCCTCACACCTCACAGTGGTCATTATTCACTATGGCTGTGCCTCCTTCATGTACTTGAGGCCCAAAGCCAGCTACTCTCTTGAGAGAGACCAGCTTATTGCCGTGACCTATACTGTTGTGACCCCTCTCCTCAACCCCGTTGTTTATAGTCTAAGGAATAGGGCTGTACAGACAGCTCTGAGGAATGTTTTCAGAGGGAGATTGCTGGGTAAAGGATGAAGGTTACCCCAATAGGACACTTTCTTCTGAAGAAATCAAGCCAAAGGGTCAGGTATTCAAGGCCTCAGGCCGAAGCTCTCTTACCACCAATCCTCTGGAAGAGCCTTATCCTGCCTGCTGCCCTTCCTTCCGGGCTTCCTGCTCTGCTCACTGCAAGCAAGTCAAAATGAGCCTCAAATGTGAATTTTAACTTTCGGCTTCCTAGATGTCACCCCTAGTTACTGAAACCCATTAAGCATTAAACATTTAGTTAAGTTAATTAAGTATTTTTTAATTGAGCTGAACAAAATGAGGGAAGTTTGGAGTGTTCAAGGCAGGGCTGCCAGGAGCCTATCAGGGATACTGTAGAGATTTCTAAAATCATTACATAATTAGACTATTTGATCTGTAATGTTCTTCCAAGACTTGAAACCTGGTGAATATCAGCTTGACAGGTTAGGTTAATGCTTTGTTAAATGAATAGGTGGATTATTCTTACTCCTACTGGGTGTCTTTTTATGTTTTTATATTTTTAAAATTTCAACTTTTATTTTATATACAGTGGAGTACATGTGCTTATAGGTTCATCATTGTGCTGTTAACAGTAACAAAGACACGAAATCATATTTTTATATAGTTGTCCCACTATCTCTGACTCTATCACTTTACCCTTTTTGTTTTAATTGATTTTCCAAGCTGGGTAGTACATCTTTCAGAAAATATATTTATTTCCTATTTTTTTTGATAATTTTTAATGCTCTCTGGTAGCTTCAGAATCTTGCATGTCAGAGACCTACCTCATTTGGGTCATTCACTAAACTAGATACTGTCCTTTTGAATTTATTGCAGAACTATTTGTTCTGCCTATTTTACTTTCTACAAACAGTGTGTTCTACATAGTGGCAGACATTATTAGAGAAAGTGTAGTGAACTCACAAGACTGTCAGGCGGGGGTTTGAATGGAAGCTCTTCAACTTATCAGCTGTGTAACTCTAGGTAAGCTCTTTAACATTTTTCAGCTTCAAAGTTCTTATCTGTAAATGGCTGTAACTTCAGTTTTGTGTTGGTGACTAAACAGGATCATGAATACAAAGAACTTAGCACATCCCTTGGATCATAGTGATCTTCCAAGAAGTTCCAGTTGCTATTACTAAAATGTGTAAAGGAAAAAGATACTGGGTTTTAGTTTAGGGAGAGTCTACTCTAGGTGGAGGATCAGAGAAGACTTCATGTTTTAAAGAGTACTTGAACTTGTTCCTAAAGGATGAGTGAGCTTTGACTGCACTGACTGGAGAGAAAGTACATTCTCAGAAGAGAGAACATAACAGCCAAAGGCTTGATGGTAAGACAATATAGGCCTGTTTTAGAGTGTGTGGGTTGTTCAGAGGGGCTGGAAATGCCTCACAAATAATGCAGAGAAGTTAGTCTGAGTCAAGACTTAACTTGTTGAAAGAATTTGAATGCCTTGCTTCAGACATGGTCCTTTTGTCCATAGGAGATAAGGCATAGTAAAACTGTGAGCAGAGAGTGGCATCTGGGAAGGGATTTAGGAAGATTAATCCAGCAGCAGAGGGGATGATAGATTTCAGCAGAGAGAAACCAGAGGCAAGGTGATCAGCAAGAAACCCATTGCTATCAGCTTAAAGAAAGGCAGAAAGGCTTCAATATGGTTAGTCACACCAGAGACAGAAGGAAACCACAAACATATGATTTTGAGAAGGTAGGATTCACAGGGTTTGGCAGTGAGATAGAAGTGAGGCATGGCTTGAGAGACAAGGGAAGAATTTAGGTTGAGAAGGTGTTTTTCAGATAGAAATCCACATTTTTCCATTGTCTCAGGAAAGAAACCTCCTCTAATAGAAATAAGATGAAAACGAAATTTGAGAGGAAGGAAGCTACATCTCAGAGAAGAGAACCAGGGCAAAGAGAAGAAGGTGAATTATCCAGACAGCCCAAAGGGCCTCATCAGGGGAGAAAGACCATCTGTTCTAGGGTTCTTTTCACTATAGGGAAAAGTAATCCCTCATTGCACTGAGGCCACGTGAGCAAATTCATTTCACCAATTCATTCAGTACACTCAGCATAACATTGGATAAACGCACACTGACCAATGGTTGGTAAAGATGTTTCAAGAATTGCTAAGCAATACTTAAAGTCCAACTTCCACACATAGTAGTCTTAAGTATGGAAGGGTATAAAATCAGTTCGAGGGATTTTTTTCAAATAGGTGTTTCTGGGATCTATCTCTACAGACCTTGAAATAATTGATCTGGGATAGGGACAACATAAACAGTCTTCAAAATCTTGTTTGGTGAATCAAATTTTCTCCCTTATGTGACTATGTGCTTAACAAGGGCAAAGTCTTATTCCAGGTACACATGAACAGTAAAACAGAAGTCCTTCTGCTATGAACATGACCACATATGCCCAACTCATGGTCCTTTGAAAGAGCCAATTAATACCAGAAACTCTGTAGTCAGACTTGTTAGGTTTTAAATCTAGTCCTGACAAAATCAGAAGATAATTAGAAAGATGAGGCAAGGATTTCAGTTTAAAGTTGGTAGAAGGTCAAGAAAAGATAAGTATTAATTAGGAGGCACTTAACTCTGAGAGGAAGATGGAAATTTGATGCAAATTCTAATTATCATAATATTATATATATCAAACATTAATAACCCCTATTAAATTATTTATGCAGATTGCAATATTATTACTATTTTTTACTTGAGAGCACAGCTGGACAGATCTGATTTCAGAAAAAGCTATATACAGTTATGACAGTTTCATCTGATGTTATTTTTATTTTGGTTTTCTAGCCTTTATATTAACCAATCTCTTTTTGGTTAGCTTTTAAGGTGAAGCTAATTACTCGTTGTCGTTAAGAGCATGATTTGACCCACTAAATGACTAATAATCCGATTTAGGCTTTGAAAAATTTTGGCAGGCTTAGCATTGGGGGAATGAAACCATATCCACCTTTGCTTATGATTATTTTCAGCACAAATAGTTTTAGACTATCCGTATGTGGTAAGCGTGATATTAAACAATACTAATTTTTGATGGTCTATATCTTTTCTAACTGTGCTATTTTTGATAACTCGTAATAAGACAATTTAGACATTTCTGAACATTAATTTTGAAAATATTTTCTGCTTGTTATATTCCATAATATTTGACTATTTAAGAAAAGAATCACTAAAATACCTGTATGTTGTTAGCATTAATGATAACTTTTTAACTTTAAGCAATTTTTAAAAAGGCTCCTGTGACAGCATTTATCCTGGACAGATTAATTTCTATGCGGAGGAAGGGACTGGTACTTAAGATGGTAATCAAGTGGTAACATTAATGAATTGGTGAGTGGGAACTATTTGTGCAGAATGCTAGGAGTTTTATAACAGCAAGTAAGTGATCTAAGATTTCTCACCAGCAAATGACACCACTACCTTTTATAAATCAATTCAGAATGTCAGCATGTAAATCTGTTCAGAGTAAACCGGGCCTGAAAGTTTCTGAAGATAGCATCACCTCTTCCTTTTTAAATTAATTCTTTAATTTTAAAAATAATTATATTAACTATTACTTTAACAGGATATGGAAGTATTATTTTTATTATGTTAAAACTTAAGAGAAAATACAGGAGCCTGGAGGACACTAGAAAGCCCTGCTTTGCTGGAATTTTTTCATTCTGAGAATAACAACATATACTATAATTTTGAAGTATGGAAAAAATAAGTTAAGAATAAAGCAGGTGTTATGCTGATCTGGGTGTTGTTTTATTGTACAAACTAAAATACTGATGTTCCGCAGAATATCAAATACCTTCATTTTCAAATTTAAAATGGAATATATTCCAAAGTTTAAAAAATAATTTGCAAATTGCCTTTGATCTTATTTATCTACTCTACCATGGTCTTTCTTTACGGTACAATTAGCTGCCCATCCTTATATGGGTACATTTCCCAGAAATACAGAAGTTCAACATTTTACTTAACTTTTCCCAAAAAATATTTTTAAAAAGAAGTACTTTATTCTATAATCAGAACAAAAGATAATGATATGCAAAACAGAACAAATAAAAATAGAAACCTTGACACCCCTCAGCAGTGACTAGTTGCATACAAAATAGCTTCCACTCCTCCAACTCTATTCACCTTTCTATCTCCCACCCTTGAGATTATTTAAGATCATGCAATAAGTGTAACACACACACACACACGCACACACAGCCATCTTTATCTTCCACATTTGCCTGTACTCTTCACCTCCCAGTAAATTTCTCATGACACTAAGATTTTCTTGATGCACGAGGAGCTGCTTATTAGTTGCCAAAGTAGGAGTTGGTGAAGCCAACGTAGTCGTAGCCAGAGAGATGGCTTCGACCCCGTGGGTCCATATATTGCTGCATATGTGAGGCACAGAATGACACTTGCTCTGGGGTAAGGGCCTGGAAAGCATTAAAAGAGAAAAATACAGTTATAAGTATTTGAAATAGCTGGTTCCTTGGGGCTTCCTGTATTATGCCCTAAATGCAGGGGAGTGAGAATCTCTGGGAAAAGCAAGCCCTGTTTCTATTACACACAATTTTTTTCTCATAAATTTATAATTTCTAATGAGTAACTTAATTTTTAAACTCAGCCTTTTCTTGAAAAAGAGAGCTTACTCACTTTGACTATTCTATGACTCCCATTCCCTAAGGTTGTTTTATTAAACAGAAGGGATAAGAAACAGCCTTAAAAACTGAGTTGCAGATTTTGAATTGACTTTCAGATTCAATAAAGAATCATAGTACGTTTTTGAGTTGGGTCAAGACAAAATGAAGTGGTGACCAAAGCAAATTACAACTTGTGGAAGGGAAGGTCTAAAAAACAAAAAAGTGGGTGGGTTTTTTTCAAAGTAGGCCACCAGGCCTGAGATGACCAAAATTCAGATTAGGATAACAGTATAGTAGTGGAAGTAACCAAAATCGGACCTGCTTCATGTCTTCTTTGGTAATATATGCCTTGCCCTCCGCCAGGGCT